TTCGAAGGATCGCCGGAGCCCAGCAGGTTGAGGCTGCGGTGGCTGGGAGTGGCCACTGCACTCCAGTCTGGGCGACAGTGAGACTCCAACTCAAAAAAAAAAAGATTACTGCCAACAATAGTCGTCACCTTTTTTTTTGAGTCAGAATCTCATTTTGTCGCCCAGTCTGGAGTGCAGTGGCATGCTCACGGCCACCCCAGCATCAACCTGCTGGGCTCCGGTGAGCCTTCCTCCTCATCCTTCCACATAGCCGGAATTACAGGTGTATGCTACCATGGCTGGCTAATTTTTGGTTTATGTAGAGACACGGCCTTGCCAAGTTGTCTGTACTGGTCTCAAACCCAGAGCTCAGGCAGTCCACTCGCCTCGGCCTCCCAAAGTACTGGGATTACCACGCCCAGCTAATTTTTTTGATTTATTGTAGAGATGAGGTCTCGCCTGCCCAGGTGGGTCTCGAACCCGCAGACTCAGGCAATCCACTCACCTCAGCCTCCCAAAGGCGCAGGATTACAGGCTGAGCCACCGAGCCCGACTTTCATTTATTTTTTAAGGAAGCAAGATCTCTCTCTGTCACCCAGGCTGGAGTGCATTGGCATCATCTTGGCTCCCTGCAGTCTCAAACTCCTGAGTCAAGTGATCCTCCCGTCTCAGCCTCTCAAGTAGCCAGGACTGCAGACATGCACCACCACCCCTGGCTATTTTTAAAAATTATTTTTAGAGATAAGGTCTCGCTATATTGCCTAGGCTGATCTTGAACCCCTGGCCCCAAGTTGTCCTGCTTTAGTCTCCCAAAGTGCTGAGATTAGAGTGGTGAGCTACCTTAACCAGCTTGGTAGTGATTTTTTTTGTAAATGAGAACAATATGCACAGATTCTATTTGCCCAATAATTAATGTCTTCTGTAAAAATGTAGATAAAAGAAGAAAGTTTGAAACAAATTAGTTTCTGGGCGCAGTGGCTTATGAAGTAATGCTAGCACTTTGGGAAGCAGAGGCGAGAGAATTGCCTGAGTCCAAGGATTTGAGACCAGCCTGGGCAACTTGGTGAGACCTCATCTCTATGATAAGTAAAAAAAAATTAGCTTGGCATGGTAGCACATACCTATAGTTCCAGCTAGTAACTAGCTGAGGAACTTGGAAGGCTGAGGCGGAAAGATTGCCTGATCCCAGCAGGTTGAAGCTGTTGGTGACTGTGAGCATGTCACTGCACTCCAGCCTGAGCGATAGAGTGAGACTGTCTCAAAAAAAAAAAAAAAAAAAAACCGGGCCCAGGGGCCC